GGGGGGGGGGGGGGGGGGTAGACGGGGAGCGCCAGGGGCCTTCAAGCACGGAAGTCTGGGGATGAGAAGAAACAGACACAAGCCAGGGACCCAGAGGAATCACTATTTCCTACACCCGGAGGTGTGCAGGCGGCTTTGATTTCCACCCACAAGCCTCCTTTTAAGGCTCCAGGCAGAAGCAAGCTCCCCGCGCTGGGCCCCTCGGCTCAGCCAGAGGGGACACCTTTGTGCGTCCCTTTGAAAGGGCACCTTCGGAACAAAGCTGAACACCTGCACGCTGCTCAGAACAATGGCTGCGGGAGGAACCCAGTCATCTCTGCCTTGAAATTAGCGGGGGGATTCCCTGCTCCCGGCTGGAAGGGGCGGGGGCTGGACACCCGGAGAAATCCCCTGGGCGGTGGGACGCAGGGTCGCGCGCGGAGGCGCTCCACGAGACTCTGGGGCCACGCGTGTCCGTGGCCCTCGCGGGGTCCCGCTGCACTCGCCGCTCCGGGCTTCCCCAGGACGCCCCCGCCGCAGCCCGCCCCATTGTCTGCGCCGCTCGGAAAACTTCGCCACAACTAGCCGCCCGGGAACAAATAAATAAAGAAGCCCCTGGAGCAAGGCCACGGGTGTGTTACCCCGGGAATCTCCCTCCCCAGACGCCAGGCTGGGCGACCTCCCGCCCCCGGCAAAGGCCTGGGAATCTTTTTGAAAAGACAAAAAAAGCCAAACCCAGCAGAGGGCTCGTTACCTTGCACACCAGCTCCTCTCCGCTGTGCAGATGCACCGCGCGGAAAACGCGGTCTCCCTCCAGAGGCTCCAACAATAAGTATTTCCCGATGCAAGAAACGCAATGCGACAAGTTCGGAGTCTCCGGCGGGCTCGGGGAGCCGAGGTTCGGGCTGAAACTCTGGCTGGGTTCGGCGGACCTTATAGACGACAACTCTTCGAAATCCTGGGTTTTGTTCCGCGATCTCCCATATCTCGCTATTGTGATGGGGGTAGACCTGTGTATGTTCATGAGTGTGGGGATCGCACACGACCAGCAAACAAAAACCCGCTGGAGGGATGAGTCGCTGGCGAGTGCGGCTGCAGGCGCCTCCGTGCCACGGATTTTAAAAGGGGGCGCGAGGGGAGGGGACGGGAAGGGGGCTGCGCGGAGAAAGAGTTAGAAGCCCCAACAGGGCGCAGCTGGGCACCTGGTCTGCTCCGAGCCCGGCTCCCGGGGGCACTCGGTCGGCAGCGGCTCGGGTCCTTTTGTTGCCCCAAAGCAGCCAGCGATGTGCAGAATCGCGGCACTTTTAGTTTCTCTCTCCCTCTGTTTCCAACGTGGATCTAGGCGAGGAGCCGGGTTGCTCAAGTGGGAGCTGCAGCGCCGGGTCCCCCGCAGCGACCCCCAGGCAGGCTTCAGACTTGCAGGCGGGCTGGGTGGCAGGAGCCCTGCTCGAGTTGGTGCAGTCTTCGGGGAGCGCGCGGCGGCCGCTTGCTCTCCACGCGTTAGAAGCCCGACAAAAAGAGAAAGGAAATCAGCACGGGTCTACCGGCTCGCGCCGCGCGGCAGGCGGAATCCGCGCTGCACCCCCTTTTTTGGTGGAAAGGGTGGGGGGGCGTGGAAGGGGGGCGGTTGCCGGAGAGGGTAGTTATCTACGACTTAACTGTAGATGGCGTCTGAGGCTTTTCCAAGATCGCAAGAGCTCTCCCAAGAATTAAACAAACAGACCAAAAAAAAAAAAAAAAAGAGAAAGGGAGCATTTAACTTGGAGCGGTCAGCGCTGAACAAAAGAT